TTATATTTATATTATTATCATGTTCACTTTTATTTCAAGGTTGAGATGATCAAGAAAGGCTTATCACAATGTTATGAATGCTTGCCGAAAGCGACTCAAAAATCATTTCCAGGCTGCACAATTAGAAATACACCTTCAGAACCGATTCATTGTATTGTTTGGGCCAAACATTTATTCAAGTGAGTAAAAATTTAAATTGTAAGTAACAATCATGATTATTAACTCTTCTAATACATTTTTGGATAGTTTACAACATTTTCAGACAGTAGTAACATTTTTAGGGGTTTTATAACATTTTTGAACAGTTCACAATATTTTCAGAACATTTTATAACATTTTTGGACCGTTTACAGCTTTTCTAGACCGTTTACAACATTTGTAGGAGGTTCATAATATTTCTGAACAGTTCCTAACATTTCTGGGTGGTTTACAATATTTTTTGATAGTTTATAATATTTCTGGGGGTTCACAACATTTTTGGACCGTTTGCAACATTTTTTGGGAGTCCACAACATTTTCAGGCAGTCCATAACATTTGTGAATGGTTTGCAACATTTATGGACGGTTTGCAATGTTTTCAGCAGTTTATAATATTTTTGGACTGTTTGCAACATTTACGGACGGCTTACAATATTTTTAGGAACCTTGTGATATTTTTGGACAGTTCACAATATTTTCAAACAGTTTGCAACATTCTAAACTATTTATAACAAACTAAGGCGGTTCATAATATTTTTGGACAGTTTCTAACATTTCTGGATGGTTTGCAACATTTCTGGACGTTTGCAACATTTCTGGACGGTTTGCAACATTTCTGTACTTTTTTGAACCGTTTGCAACTTTTTTGGACAGCACAACATTTTTAGGCATTTTACAACATTTCTGGACGGTTTACAACATTTTTGAATAGTCTACGACATTTTTTAACAATTTGCAACATTTCTGGATGGTTTACAACATTTTGGAACAGACCACAACATTTTTAAACGATTTGCAAACATTTCTGGATGGTTTACAACATTTTTAAACGGTTTGCAACATTTTTAGGCCGTTTGCAACATTTTTGTGATTTGAAACATTTTTAGGCGATTTGGAACATTATGGTCGTTTGCTACAGTTTAAGGCGATTTGGAACATTTTTTCGTCGTTTTGCAACATTTTAAGGCGATTTGGAACATTTTTATGTCGTTTGGAACATTTAAGGCGATTTGGAACATTTTAAACGATTTGCAAACATTTCTCATTTTTTATTTATAATATTTTTGGATGTATTATAACATTTCCAACAGTGCAACATTTTTGGACCTTCTACAGCATTTCTGGACATTCTGCAACATTTCTGGAGAATTTGCAACATTTTGAACAGTCCACAACATTTTTAGGCCGTTTGCAACATTGTTTGGCGATTTGGAACATGTTTAAATGATTTCCATTATTTTTAAAGGATTTGCAAACATTTCTGGACTATTTTGCAATATTTTTAGATTTATAATATTTTTGGATGCGTTCTCTGGACGGTCTGCAACATTTCTGGCCCTTTTGCAACATTCTGGCCCTTTTGCAACATTTCTGGCCCTTTTGCAACATTTCTGGCCCTTTTGCAACATTTCTGCCCTTTTGCAACATTTCTGGACCTTTTGCAACTTTTCTAGACGGTCTGCAACATTTCTGGACCTTCCGCAACATTTCTGGATCTTCTGCAACATTTTTAGATCGTCTTTAACATTATCATTAGATCGTCCTCAATATTTTTAGATATTTTATAACCTTTTTAGATAATTTACAACCTTGCTTTTAGAATTTTAGATTTTAGATAAATCATCTACAGCATATTTGGACTGCCACATTTTTAGACTGCTTACATAATATTCAGACAATTTACAACATTCGTGGATAATTTACAACGTGAAAAAAATATTATTCCCACTTTTCAGCTTAGTTTTTTATCTATTTAAATTAAATTAAAAGAGTATTGCATTTTTCTAATATAAATTAAATTATACAAGAAACTAAATTTATTTGCAAAATCTTATGATATTAAAAATTATAATTAATTTAAATAATTTCGTTCTATTTTATTTCATTTTCAGTCAACTATTTGGCGAAACCGATGACGATGAAGAAGTCTCACCAGACACTGCCGATCCTGAAGCAGCAGGAGACGCTAGCGAAAAAGCACTTGCTGATGAATTTTCAGAAAAGGTTGGTGAAGAGATTATTGTGTCACAAATTAAAAATCTAAATTATGTTGCTTTTTACAAACAACAATTATTTTTCAGGGTAACATTGATCGTGTAAGCACAAGGCAGTGGGCTGAGTCTTGCAACTACGAAAGTCAAAAGCTGTTTACTAAATTCTTTCATGATGATATCGAGTATTTATTGAGTATGAAGAATCTGTGGAAGGAGAGACGCCCACCTGTGCCACAGATGTGGACCGAACCCATGGGTAAATAAATAGATAAATATATAAATGTTATATATTATATATATATATATATATATTATTATATATATATATATATATACTAGCTGACCCGGAAAACGTTGTTTTGCTAAGTAAGGTATATACTAAACAATTTCTAGAGAATCAAAAATATTAATACTTAAGTGCATAAGGATGTGTTGTTTGAATGATATATACAATGAGGTATTATAAAAACAATAAACCCCATCAGTTTGTCTATATTTGTCAATACAATCAAACTGGAAGTTTTTACACTTTCTATAGAAAACATGTATAATCCAATCCAAGTCTTTTTTGGTCCTCCGATTATTGATTACGTTTCAAGTTTTTCAGATTCTTTTTGGATTCTGCATTTTGTGTATAATTGTAAATAATACTACTGAGCTTAAACAAAATTTTCAAATTTCTGCGAGGAGAGATAGAAAATGAATTAAGTATTTCTTCTTTAATCTGCTTTTTGAAAAGTTTCAAGTAACATTCGATGAATAAAAGTAAATTTAATAAAAAGTATATATATGTAAGGCAGGGCGGGGGCACAAAGGTCCAATTTGACTTTGAGAAATATTAATTATATTATAAAATCAACCAATTATATTACAACAAATAACACATTTCAAACGAACGATTATCTGACTACGTTCAGTAAAACTGCCAGCTACTTTGTCATTGTAGAAATGTACTTTTTTGATATCTTTCAAAAATTTGTTATCTAGACCTTTTTACCCTATAGGCGGGGTAACTTGAAACGGCCAGGTGGCAAACAGGTTCAAAGTCTTATTTTAATTTTAAAGGTATTTTACAAATAATTACACTTTAACTAATGCTAAAAAAACTACCAATGGAAGAAAATACTTTTATTATGGATTTTCAAAGATTACCGTTTATCTCCCGATAGCAAAGTCATAAGAATCGAGGTTATAGCTGTTTATACATCTTTTTCCCTCTACTTTCAAATATTGTTGTTAAACAATGCTTAACTTTACTGTTTTTTCACACATCGGTGGTGGACCTTTTAACCCGGACCTTCATATATTACTATCTATTTTTTGATAAATTCTGGGAAATTATAACTGAAGAAAAATGTCATTCGGCAAAATATCCCTTTGATCGATACCAAATTTAGGTTCTGAATTTAAATAACATAAATAAAAAATAATATAATCAGGAAAATGTTTTATAAATACCACTGAATATATAATTATACAAATGAGATCTTTCAGAGCACCGTGTTTGAGAAAAATATGCCAAAAAGTGCATTTTCATATTAACATTTCAAAAAAGTTGATATTTTGAGTTTCTAGTAACACTTGCGGCCAGTTTAATAACGTTTTTGTGTATAAATATAACTATGAACAAAAGTACTTACTACAATTTAATCATAATTAAATAATATTTACGTAAAACATCAAACATCATTTAGTAATATTTAATACATTTGACGTATTAGCCCACCGTCCATTGTTTTATTCCAATAACGCTTCTACAAAAATGTTCAAATTAAAAGTGTAAAGTTTTTACGCGATTTTGAAATAATATCTCACCTTTCCCACAACCTACTGATTAGCACGAACTTTTCAAGACAAAAACTGGCCAAATCGGCTCAGCCGTTTTCGAGTTTTAGCGGATCTCATGTTATCGAGAGCTCCATTTTTATATATAAGAAGATATATATACATTACAATTTTTATTTATTTTTAAAACTTATTTTTATTGTAGTGTATATATTATATCTATCTCTTTCAGATTCAGAGATGAAAGACGACGCAGTAACCCGTGAACAAAGAAATCTTTCCCTAGCAGAATGGTGTTGTGTTTTCAAAATGAGCGTCATGAGTTTGTTCAAACAGTTGGAAGAAAAGAAGACCACTCTCGTTTGGGATAAAGACGATCAGGCTGCCATGGACTTTGTTGCTGCCTGTGCCAATATTCGGTCTTACTGTTTTGGTATTGAACAGAAATCGAGATTTGAAGTAAAATGTAAGTTGGATAAAAAAAGCAATAGAAATAGATTTTTTTTGTTAAAAATTATTAGGGGCATTTTGTCATAAAATTAGCGATATGTGTAAATAATCGACAAATAATTTGTTCCATTTATAATCTACTTGGCCTCCTGTTTACCTGTCTACTTTTATACCTGCCTACTAAGGTGGTCCTTAATATGGACATTTTCATTTTTTTCCTCCTAGGTACTCAAATGGTTTCAAATTAATAAAAAAAAATCTCTAAAAGTTTCAGCTTTTAATATTAATATGTAGATAGTCCGTAATTCAATTAAAAGTTTCGTGTATTTATTATTAATATATGTCATTAAGTAAATTCTTCCGCCATCTGTTTTAAATTCTTCCAACAATATTTTTAGGCAGTTTCTTACATTTTTAGACGGTGTACAACATTTTTGGACTTTTCATAACATTCTTAAGCGATTAATAATATTTTTAGACGGAGTTATAATATTTCTGGATAGTTCACAACATTTTTTTAGGTAGTTTCCTACATTTTTGGCCGGTTTACAACATTCCTGGACGATTTACAACATTTTTAGGCAGTTTCTTACATTTTTGGCCGGTTTACTGCATTTCTGGACAATTTACAACATTTTTAGGCAGTTTCTTACATTTTTGGCCGGTTTACTACATGTTTGGACAATCTACAACATTTCTGGACAATTTACAACATTTTTAGGCATTATCTTACATTTTTGGCAGGTTTACAAGTTTTCTGGATGATTTACAACATTTTTAGGCAGTTTCTTACATTTTTGGCCGGTTTACTACATTCTTGGACAATCTACAACATTTCTGGACAATTTACAACATTTTTAGGCATTATCTTACATTTTTGGCAGGTTTACAAGATTTCTGGATGATTTACAACATTTTTAGGCAGTTTCTTACATTCTTGGCCGATTTACTACATTTTTGGACAATTTCAAACATTTGTAGGTAGTTTCTTACATTTTTGGCCGGTTTACTACATTCTGGACATTTTACAACAGTTTTAGGCAGTTCCCTACATTTTTTACCGGTTTGCAACATTTCTGGACGATTTACAACATTTTTAAGCAGTATTTTACATTTGTTACCGGTTCACAACATTTTTTGGCGTCTTATAACATTTTTAGGCGGTTTATAATATTTTTGAACGGTTTGCAATATTTCTGGACGGTTTGTAACATTTTTAAACGATTTATAATATTTCTGGACAGTTTATAACAGTTTTGGACAGTATATAGCATTTTTATGCAGTCTACAACATTTCTGGCCGGTTTGCAACATTTTTGGACGATTTACAACATTTTTAGGCAGTTTCTTACATTTTTGGCCGTTTTACAACATTTCTGGACGTTTTATAACATTTTAGGCGGTTTAGAATATTTCTGGACAGTTTACAACATTCCAGGACGATTTACAACATTTTTAGGCTGTTTCTTACATTTTTGGCCGGTTTATTACATATCTGGACAATTTACAACATTTTTAGGCAGTTCCTTACATTTTTGGCTAGTTTATAATATTCCTGGACGGTTTACAAGATTTTTAGGCAGTTTCTTATATTTTTAGCCGGTTTACAACATTCCTGGACGATTTATAACCTTTTAGGCAGTTTTCTTACATTTTTGACCGGTTTGCAACATTTCTGGACGTTTAACATTTTAGGCGGTTTGGAATATTTCTGGACAGTTTACAACATTCCTGGACGGTTTACAATATTTTTAGGCTGTTTCTTATATTTTTGGCCGGTTTATTACATTTCTGGACAATTTACAACATTTTTAGGCAGTTCCTTACATTTTTGGCTAGTTTATAATATTCCTGGACGGTTTACAAGATTTTTAGGCAGTTTCTTATATTTTTAGCCGGTTTACAACATTCCTGGACGATTTATAACCTTTTTAGGCAGTTTTCTTACATTTTTGACCGGTTTGCAACATTTCTGGACGTTTTATAACATTTTAGGCGGTTTGGAATATTTCTGGACAGTTTACAACATTCCAGGACGATTTACAATATTTTTAGGCTGTTTCTTACATTTTTGGCCGGTTTATTACATTTCTGGACAATTTACAACATTTTTAGGCAGTCCCTTACATTTTTGGATAGTTTATAACATTTTTGGACAATATACAGCATTTTTAGGCGGCCTACAACATTTCTGGACGGTTTATAGTATTTTTTGACGATTTGCAACATTTTTAAGCGATTTATAATATTTCTGGATAGTTTCTTACATTTTTGGACGTTTTATCATTTTATTGGACGTCTTATAACATTTTTAGGCGGTTCATAACATTTTTAGGCGGTTTATAATATTTTTGGACAAATTCTTACATTTTTGGACGTTTTGCAACATTTTTAAGCGCTATATAAAATTTCTGGACAGTTTATAATATTTTTTGGCAGTATACAGCATTTTTTGGCAATCTTCAATATTTCTGATTTATAATATATTTGGACGATTCGCAACATTTCTAGACTATTTGAAACATTTTTATGCACTTCATAACATCAATAATAGCGTCAACTCTATCCGAATGACGTCATCGACCAATGACGAATCAGAATTCAGTCAGACGTAACCAACTTCCGTCCTATTGTCAGTTTCATATCATAGAATTACTCCCTAGTCGCGCCTAAGGAAGTTTTACTTCAAAATAACTGAAAAATGCCCAAAACACTTGGTAATACTTAAATACATATAATTTTCAAAATGAGTGCAATAATTTTATTTTAAATTGAGTTCTGGGACACCCTGTTTACTATTACTATTACTGGAATTGCTGGTACTTCCCGTACCGTAAATATGAAAGCGCGTAAGCGCCGCGTAGTCGTCTAACGTGTAAACATTGGTACAGAACCCATATAAATATACACAAAATTGTACTTATTATTAATCTTTATAAAATATCTGATGATATGATGTACATATGTCTAATGTTCATTTTTGACCGCCAAATGGCATCATTCTTTAATTTTTATTGGATCTCCGGAGACGCTGGACCTGCCTTTACAAAATTGTACCAGTTCATTTTGTCAATACAAGTAAAATGATTTTTGAATTATTTAAAGCGGGCGCTCCGTTTTCTGAAAAACTGAAATACTATTTTTGATACTTTTTGCCCCGTATCTCCGAAACGGCCTTTGCCTTTGCCAAAAACTAATCAGTACGCCTCCTTATCAATAGTAATCGAATGTTTTTTGAATTAATCAAATCGGTTGATCCATGTCGACGAAAATTTGTATCCGCACACATGCACACACATACATCCATTTTTTTCCAAGGTATGCCAAAATGTTAAGAAACCTCTGAAACGTAAAGATATATAAAAAATTTCATTTTCGATTTTTTTGCGATTACTGTAACTTACCCTACGGGAAGTTAATAAATATTTGTGTTATTTTTCAGCTATGGCTGGTAATATAATTCCCGCGATTGCGACCACAAATGCAATCGTTGCTGGAATTGCCGTTATGCACGCTTTTAAAATCCTGCAAGACAAAATCAAAGAGTGCTCCACTGTGTATGTACGTCTTACAGAGAACCCACAAAAGCAAATACTTGTACCGGAGAAATGTAAGTCACAAAAAAAATAAATCATAAAAAAATATCCTTTTACTATTTCTATTATATCCAATCTTGTGTCTTTTATCCAGTTCTCAATCCTCCAAACCCTAAATGCTATGTCTGTAGTCCAAAACCTGAAGTTAATTTAATGCTCGATGTGAACAAGATGACTGTGAAAGAATTGGAAGAAAACGTTTTGAAGAAATCGTTGAACATGATTGCACCTGATGTCATTTGCCAATCTAAACAGTTGGTTATCATATCTTCCGAAGAAGGGGAGACTGAGTGCAACAATGATAAGAAATTGGCAGAATTGGGAATTGTTGATGGAAGCATGTTACAAGTAAGATAATTAGATTCTCTCCTGTCTCATGATATGAATATTTTTGAAGTAAAACTTCTTTAGGCGCGACATGGGTGTAAATCGACATGGGTGTAAAGTAATCGCTTGCATGATTCGCGCTTACGACGCTAGCAATCGCAATTATTCGATCTAGTCTGCGAGCAAAACAAAAAATACATCAAATGTCAAATCATATGTCAAAAACAAAACAAAATGTGTCGACTTTTTCACTTGAGTTTTGTGTTTAGCTCGTAGTCTCTAAACATTTTTTGAAGTAAAACTTTTTTAGGCGCGACATGGGTTAGCAAAATAATTCGTGAGTTAATAAAAATGTCAGGATCGGAAGAATATTTTATTCCGTCCCCCATAAATAATTGTAGTGCAAATGATCGCAAATAAATAATGAAACTAAGGAAAAATCTGCGCTGCGTAAGAAATGATAGCTTTTCCTATGTATGTTTTTTGTGTGTGATCGACTTTGGCTTCAAAGTGGCTTAGAAATATCAAATGATGCTCAAAAACAAATTCTTAATAATGTTTTTTGAATATTGATTTAAATGATCAGGTTGGATGTCAAACTTGTCGAATGATATTAAGTTCGGGCAAAATTCCCACTTTGTGTAAATTTAATGGTTTTGTATTTCCACCTGTACCAAATTATCTACCTAAACTAGATACTGTAACTGAAAGGTTAATTTCACCTAGGTTGAGTTTCATGCAAATTAGACGATTGCGACATGCAAATGGACAATTTGGAATGTTTGGCCAAATTATAAATGTGCCTGTTGACATTAATAATTTGGTTAATTTATTACCTCGTAATATTGATGATGATCATTGCATTAACGTTCGCATAAAAAAGCAAATGATTCATAGATTAAGCTATGTGCAGGGCTTGATAAATAAAACAAATATAAAAGTATGGCTTCAATTTGTTAGGCAAGACGGATATTACAGCTGTTCAAGGAATGAGATTATATCGTCAGCGAAAAAGTAAAAAAATACAAACAGTAAATGAATGTATGTTAATTTTAATTACATGAAGTTCTTCAAACACAATTGTTACAGGATGAGTTAATTTGCAAAAACAATATTTGTTTAGGCGTTGTTTAACATAATCCACTGTGTGAATGAATATTATAGAATTTATTAATCAGCAATTACTTTAAAACGATCATGTCATATTTCAAGTACGACTTTGATTACATTATTGTTTGTAAATATTATACATATTTTTAATGTTATAAATATATAATTTATAATTTATCATTATATAAATGTGTATAATGATTGACGACACTAATAATGTGTGCATCACTAGTGTTACCATATTACTAATAAACATTATTCAAAATTTTTATAAGATGTATTTATTTTTACTCAACTTAAATTTGCTACTTTATACAGTAGCAAATAAGTTTTACTTCAATCGCGTGTGATCCTTACGCGCACTCTTTTTTTTTTTATTTTTCAGGTCGATGACTTCCTGCAAAATTATGAATTAAGTATAACGATACACCAATATGAACCAAAGAAGGACGAACCTGAATTTCAAGTATTATCAGATCCTTCTGTTTTAAAACCGAAAGAAAGTGCTGCTCCGGCAAACATGGGAATGGAGATGAACCGTCCAGTAAGATAAAATACATTATAAATTATTATGTGTATATATATATATATATATATATATATATATATATATACACCTAAGTCTGGTTTTACACGGTCTTTTTTACACGGTTTTGATATAACACGGTTTGAAAATGAATATTTTTAATTTTTTTACACGATTTTATTCCATTTAGCACGATTTAAAATTTAATGTACTTAATTTTTTTGTCAAATTTAATTTTTGCGAAGTATGTTCATATCACAAAAAAGTTTTTATGAAAGAAAAAAGTCTGAAACCATCGATAGTATCGATAGTTTGCGAACACTAGCTTAAAGATTTAAGTGAATTCCCTTTTAGCGCGTACAAACAATTTTACTGGTCAAGCAAATGTGAATAGCACTAATTTAGGGAAATTTCCTTTATGTGCATACAATAAAATTATTTTTACCTTAAAAATTGAATAACCTATTCTTTTCGTTCACAACATAGTTTTTTAGTTCCTGAACTTGCCATACATTTAATTTATATTACTTTTAAGATTAGAGTGCATATCTTTTTATCATTAATTACTATGCTTGTGAAAATAAGCATTATATTTTTGATTTAATAAAATAAACATGAATTCTTGTTCTTAAAAATTCTTGTTTTTCACCATTTTAATAGGTTTTAGACATTAGGAACACATCACCCATTTTTGTATAAGATCAATGTCTTTTTTTACACGTTTTTTTTTTTACACGGCTTCTTCTGGAAACAATCTCCGTGTAAAAACAGACTTAGGTGTATATATATATATATATATATATATACATATATAATATTGTATTTATATTATAATTTTTTTCCTTCAGCTTCCTCTGGTCCTTCATCATCCAACAACCCCCAGGATGACGATGAAGATGATGTTTGTATCATCGAAGAATCTGATGCAGCACCTGATTCCACACAATCCCCGAATGCAAGGAAACGAGCCACTTTCGATGACTTGAACAACAGCAAAAGACGCAAGAGTGAAGTCACAGAGCAAAATGAAAGTGATGATGATATTATTATGCTAGATAATTAAGAATAAAAAGAACCTTGCTTTAAGTATCTAATATTTATAGGTATTTTATTGTTTATTATTAATTAATTATTAGTTTAATACGAAAATTTTTCATAATTTATAGGAGATTGTATGAAATAATCTCTCAGGAAAATATTGCTCGAGATATTAGTTGGTCATCACTGCCGAATGTATTTCATATATTTTTTTGACAATTGTATTAATTTTTTATTTTAACATATTTATATAAATACAATTGTAATATGGTTATTTCTACTAAATTGTTTTTATTTTAAACATAAAAAAAATAGAAATTTATATGCAAAAATACTAGAAATTAGCCATTTGTGTGGAGCAAAAATATATAGATAAATTAACCTTTTTGCTTACAAGATAGTTCACCGTAGGAATGACACTGCTGTACAAGCCAGCAAGCTACCGAAGTATTTGTTCCACACAATTCTAGAAATAAGATTAAGATTCTCCAATCATTATCGATAAAAATGCATTTAAATACACAAATGCATTTAAAATTTGAAAAATTATATTTCTAAAGAACTAATTGAGAATTATAAACAATATAACTCGAAGTGTTAAATCTTGAAGCAAAAATTAATTCTTTAGATATGTCGTCTATATGCAACACTCGTACACACAGATCGACAGGCGGATGCCGTCTATAGACGACATAAAGAGTTATTAATAATAATCAATTCTTTTTTAGATTCATTCAGAATTTACATTGAATTTTATGAGAAGGAGTGAACGATGACCTGGGAGATATATTTTAAAGTAAGATTCTAAATTTTTAATATTTGTATTACTTACTGTATTTTTTAATCAAACTTTTTTTCATTTTCATTATTTCACCATCTTTAAATAAGATGTATTAACTTCCCGTAGTGTAAGTTAATTTAATCGTCCAAAAATCGATATTGAAAATTTTTACATATCTTCATGTTTCAAATGTTTCTGAACCTTTTACTGGCGTACCTCAAAAAAATTGCATGTGTGGTGTGTGTGTGTGGATACAATTATTCGTTCACGTTTTCGGGCGCAACCGATTTGAATGATTCAAAAAGCATTCGATTCCTATTGATAGGGAGATGTGCTGATTAGTTTTTGGCAAAGACAGGTCCAGTCGTTTCGGAGATACGGAGCAGCAAAGAGTGCAGAAAATAGAAATCGAGTTTTTGCGAGAACGAAGCATCCAATTTGGATGATCCAAAAAGCATTCAATTTGTAATGATTAGGAGAAGTGGTGATTAGTTTTTGGCAAAGGCAGGTTCAGCCGTTTCAAAACTACAGAGCTAAATGTGCAAAAAATGGCAGTTTTTGAGAGAACTAAGCGTCCGATTTGAATGGCTCAAAGAACTTTCTGCTACTTTTAACTAAATAATGGCTTTTGGAAAAAAAATTCTTTGTTTCAATTTTTTTGCTCAATTTTTTTTTTCGAAATATAATTTTTTTTAAAAACAACGCAGTTTAATACAATAAAATATGTAATGTGTAATAATATATTCGCAAATTGTAAAACAAATATTTTAATCTATAAATTATATTAATAATAAAAACAATATAATCCATAACATATTTACCAAATTTGCACAGCCAAGTTTGTGAATGTTATTACTTCCGCATATATATACATACCGATTGTGAGTAATTATTACAAGATAAAATGCTTCAAATAATACTACTATCAATTTATAAACGTGATGTTTATATATTTTTATAATCTTTGCAGAATTTGTAAATCAAAACAAATACGTTCGTGTGTAAACAGATTTCGACATTGTCACATTTAAAAATGTTAGTCAACGCAATTACATAAAAGACATTGAAGAACATTACATATTTATTTTTAACACTTTTCGTGAATACGATTTGCAAACAAATTTATTTATTTGACCTAAATTTTAAAAAAATTCAAGTTATTTTTAAATAATAATAAAAACTCGTCGTCACTTAAAACTGTCAACTTGTGCAGGTTCAGTGTGAAGTTGGTAAAAGACACATATTATATAAAAGATTAACGTACAAAATTATTATATATTTATTTTTTATTAATACTTTTTGTGTTAAAATTAATTTATTTGATTTCAATTTTAAAAATTCAAGTTATTTTTAAATAATAATAAAAACTCGTCGTCACTTAAAACTGTCAGCTTGTGCAAGTTCAGTGTGAAGTTGGCATGTGAATATAAAAGACCACTTCATTTAAAAGACTAACAAACCAAATTATTATATATTTATTTTTAATAACACTTTTTGCGTTAAAATTTATTTATTTGATCTTAATTTCAAAAAATTCAAGTTATTTTTAATATCGTGATCATTTGAAACTGTCAACTGGTGTTAAGTGTGAAGTTGGCGTGTGAAGTGTTTTTATGTGCTGTCTAAATTCTGACGTTTGCTGTTGCTTCGTTATTTAGAAAATGTACAATAAATTTAATTAAACGTAATAAAACTCGCGAACGTTAAAAATGCAATAAACACATTACTTTTCAAACTTTCTACCAGCATTCGTCACGCCTTTATTAACATACCTATGAATCATAATTTAACACCTCCAAAAATCCGTAGCGTTCTAGGAAATGTCATGCAATACATAATTATAAGTGAATTTTAAATGTGTCTATTATTACCACTGTGATATTTAGCCCCTAAATCCTCGCTAGCAATGGATCTGAAAGATTTGATGATCTTAGCCAATAATTTGAGGCAGGAACGTTTGTTGGTGACCTCAGAGCAACAGGCTATACAGAATCTAAATGAATGTGTAGCTAAAGATTGTGTGCAGGTTCATCAATGTTCTTGGATTAAATGTCAACAGAGGATTAATTTGAATAAGTTGACAATTGCAAGATCCAGTTATAGTCCGGCTAATTGCTGTCAGAAGGCTAATGCTTTGGCCTCGACTAAATTTGTGGAGGCACAGAAGGTCCTGAAATACCAGGTAATAAAAGACACATGATAATATTATAATATATATATATATATATATATTATATATAATATTTATGCACCCAAGTCTGTTTTATAACATGATACTCTGTAAAAGTGTTTGCAGTGATTCAATGAGTTCAACTCTTTTGAGGTTCGACTTTTTATAAAAGTTATATAGAATTGTTATGTGCATTGTTACATACATAAATTCAACAACAATCAATTATTTATATATAACTTGAAAAAATGAAATCTCAAATGTAATTTTATCATAATAATAAAAACTACATTCTGGGGATAGAAATATTTATAAAATCTCTTTGATGAAACATTCATTTTTTACTAGTTTTTTATTTAATTTATTTACAATATTATACTTAGTATTATAATACAGGTATATATATATATATATATATATATATACAAGTATTGTTAAAATAATATTTTTATAATATTTTTTCAGGATGTCCAATCCTACGGAGAATTACTCCACTTCCTAAGATGCAATCCAGAGCTGATAGCAACCTGTCTGATAGCCGGAGACCAGGTTGCTCCTGATTTAGTACAATCAGTATGCTGCAGCTTGGTCACAGGATTATATGGTACTTGCCTTCTCACAGAAGACACCGAGTATGTCTTGCAAGTGCTCAAATGCCTTATGGAAATGCAGCTGATGCTGAGCGAGGATCCAAGAAGGTAATAATAGTGATAAAGGTTATTATATATATATATATATATATATATATATATATATATATATATATATAGCGGGTTGTCAACACGCATCGCGGCTCGTCAACACGCATCACATGTTACTGGACAGATTGGCCCATATAGTGACAGCACTGAGAAAAACAAAAGGAAATTCAAGTGTCAGATCGTATATGGTTTTTGTTTCTCCCTAGTCGAATTTGCCTAAAATGTATGATTCTTAAAACCTTTCTTTTCAATTATAAATACGAAAATACCAATAACATTTTATTAACGATTAGTATGACAA